TTCATCATGGAGGCATTAATGACTTGTAATTGGTTGGTACGTAAACTCTTTATATGGAAGATATCTCTAAGTATTTTCCACATGTCTCTAGAGTAAGGAAAATCTGTGCGGGACAACTCAACTAAAATCAAGAAAAAAATTGCTGTCACGCGAATAATTACTTAAAAAAATATTGCTTCGCTGCTATATGGTTCCAAGGGTAGATAAAGGGCAGGTTAAGGGGGGGTTAAGGGTGCATTAGGGGCAGATCAAGGGTACATGTAGATCTAAGGCGGGTCAACAGTGGATCAAGTGCGGATCAAGGTGGATCAAAGGCAGATCAGGGGCAGATCAAGGTGGATGAAAGGCAGATCAGGGGCAGATAAAGGCGGATAAAGGCAGATCAGGGGCAGATCAAGGTGGATCAAAGGCAGATCAGGGGAAGATAAAGGCGGATAAAGGCAGATCAGTGGCAGATAAAGGTCGATCAAAGGCAGATCAGAGGCAGATCAAGGTGGATCAAAGGCAGATCAAGGCGGATCAAGTGTAGATCAAAGGCAGATCAGGGGCAGATCAAGTGTGGATCAAAGGCAGATCAGGGGCAGATCAAGGTGGATCAAAGGCAGATCAGGGGCAGATGAAGGCAGATCAAAGGCAGATCAGGGGCAGATGAAGGCGGATCAGGGGCAGATAAAGGTCGATCAAAGGCAGATCAGGGGCAGATCAAGGTGGATCAAAGGCAGATCAGGGGCAGATGAAGGCAGATCAAAGGCAGATCAGGGGCAGATGAAGGCGGATCAGGGGCAGATAAAGGTCGATCAAAGGCAGATCAGGGGCAGATCAAGGTGGATCAAAGGCAGATCAGGGGCAGATGAAGGCAGATCAAAGGCAGATCAGGGGCAGATGAAGGCGGATCAGGGGCAGATAAAGGTCGATCAAAGGCAGATCAGGGGCAGATCAAGGTGGATCAAAGGCAGATCAGGGGCAGATCAAGTGTGGATCAAAGGCAGATCAAAGGCAGATCAAGTGTGGATCAAAGGCAGATCAGGGGCAGATCAAGTGTGGATCAAGTGCGGAACAAGGGCAGATCAAGGGCAGACTAAGTGTGGATCAAAGGCAGACCAAGGGCAGATCAGGGGCAGATCAAGGGCAGATCAGGGGCAGATCAAGCGGGCAGATCAAGGGTAGATCAGGGGCAGATCAAGGGTAGATCAGGGGCAGATCAAGAATCAAGGTTTGTGATCAGTACATACCATCGTCACCATCATTAGGCATCAAGGAGTTCTTTTGAGGTGATGGACTACTAGCAAATCCCTTCTGTGATGAGCTCTGTGATGAGCTGCTTATATTCAGGCCCTTCTTAAAAGACGTATTCTTGGGTGTCATGTTTGACACACTTGAAGAGGCAATAGAAGGACTTTTTCGGTTGAAATACGATTCTTCCAACAAACGTGCCATTTCCAGATCCTCTTGACTGTCTTTAAACAACTCACAAATCTCATCAGGAATATTACCGGCTGCTTTGATGTTATTGTTGCTTGCAGGTAGATGGCTCTTTTCTTTGTCGTTAATAAGGTAAGGGCTTGGGAAGAAGCCATCGCCACATGGCGGTGATTTAAGGAGAGGTGTCTTGTCCATTATTGTTGATATTGTGGATGTATGTAGCTGAGGACTTGCATAGCTTATAGAACGTGTTGCTATTGAGTAATATAGTAATATTGTCTTGTAGGTCAATCAGTTAATCAGTCATTTTTCCGTCAAAACCGCACAGTTATCCAGACAACAAAATCACACAGTTAGCCAAACACTTTTTCGTCGAAATACATCAGTTAAACGACTATTTTTTCGTCTAAGTTGAACTGTTAGCTAGGCACTTTGCCGTCTAAATTGACCAAAAACCAGACACCTTTCTGTCTAAGTCGGACATTTGGTCAGACAAGTCATCTTATTAAGTCCGTTAGGTAGACACTTTAACGTCTGAGTCCATTAGGAAACCAGACAATGTCGTCGTCTAAGTCGAAGAGTCAACTTTGCCGTCTAAGTCATTCAGGCGGCCATGACAATATTTCATAAAGTCAATTAATTAGACTTACTAGAATCATAACTGTGAGAACTCTGCTACATGTTCTATCATTGTTTTACTCTATACTTGAAACTTGCGGTCCGTATCGAGTTCGAGTACTCAAAAATGGATGGTACTTTACTCGAGTCCGGTACTGTACTATAACTCATTGTTCCTCTCTTAGAATAATAAAATAACTGGACCCTCACCTGTTGAGTTGCAGACAGCATCTTTTCTTTTTTTCAGTTTGGCTTCCAATCTACTTGCCTTGGAGCGGAGCTTTTTCCTTAGTTTGTTAAAATATAAGTTATATTAGTGCTACACCATTATGGAATATTTTTGACAATATTTTGATATGATGGTACATGTATTATACAGTATTCTCTAGACCATGAGAAGTCAATTGTTGGAAATTGAACCTGAATTTCCAACAAACAGTTATCGTTTTGTGAGTGGTTTGGCAATTTGGATACCAATGCTGTTGTARTAGCCTCCCCTRCATRCATCTCACCAGTTTTATATACTTTGGATTCCCTGTGGAAATTTGGAAGGATAGGGTGGGACAAATCTAACACAGGAATCCTGCAGAGACACCTGCAGAGAATGATGTGGTGTTAGTTACATGTACCTGAGACTTTGTTTGCTGTCAAGCTTGTTCATGTCCAAACCAGGTAGTGACTTTAGTGAAGAGGGTTTGACTTTGTCAATCATAGTACAGATATCTTCCATTGTTTTCATCAACTCACTTTGTACACCAGTCAATTGATCTTTGATTTCTAACTCAGATAACTGCAGGATATGACGGTGAATTAAAAGATGAATGAATTATTGAATATTGAATAATTGTCAATGAATAGTTCACATAAAGACTGAATAAAATCACAAATGAATGCATAAAATTAGAAAAATAAATACAATGAATAAATTATGAAACTGAAGCACATGATAAACAAATGCATGAAAAAATGAATAAAGTGATGAATAAAGTGAAAAAATAGAATGGCTAAATGAACAAATAAATTAATGCATGCACATCACTTTAGGAGTGTGCTCAAGGAAAAATATTCCCCACCATTATTCCCTTGTTCTCTCTTTCCTTATACAAGAACGTTTATTACAACGTACATTTTCATCAGATTGCTGCTCTACTATATTCATAGGTGGTTCTTCTATAATGACAGCTGAAGAATGGCATGGCTGCCTACACATACATAGAAAATAATATTTTTCTTTAAAAAATGCATTTAAATGCAACAATTAAACATACCATATATGACGGTGTATAAGTCGATCTTTTTTTTGCCGAAAAATATGACCCTTAAAAGTCAACATCAACTACACCAGACAGACATACTAATGAAATTTTCGAAACTCACAAACCTTCCCAAAACTGATAACTATTAAATTCATAATTTGTTTGTAGAAATTTAACTCAGTCTGTACTTGTCTGCTGTTAGATGCAAAGGGTGCATTCATTATTCCAACAATGCTTACCAGTCAAAGTCTTCAATATCTTCTTCTTCCTCTTCAATACCAACTTGTCTTGTTTCAATAGGGGATGGTGGTGGTGAATAGTATGCCGGTGGACTTGGGCTACRCGGAGGCTCATCAAACACTTCAGTATCTGAATCTTTCTAATAAGACATTAAAACAGGGAATGGATGAACAAATGGATTAATGAATGAATGGGAAATTAAAGAATGCCACATTATTAGTTTTACATTTACCTGTAAATACTTTGTAAATATAACATGATTGCTTTGATATGGATACTTTCCTAAAACCTTATCATTTACAAAAAAATCTAGGTCGGAATACAATGATCGATGTACAGTACTGATCTTAGCGATATTCATGACTTATCTCAAAGTAAATTTTTAAAAAAATTTCACAAGATGGCCTTTTATTCATAAAATTCTAGTTTTTAAATCCTATTTTTTGTTTATTGTTACAGTGCTTAGAGCAGACCTGAATAAGTGTTATACAATACACCTTTAATGTTATTATCTCTTTACAAAGCAATCTAATTTTCTTCTAGTATATATAAACATGCCCCTTTTCTTCTGCTTTTAGTTAATGTATGATAATTATTTACCTGTAGAGCAGAGGTCATATCATTTTCAATATCAAAGCCATCATTCCAGTCATTGTCCAGGAAAKCTTCATTTTCAATAGCATGGTTTTYAATGGGGAGTTCTTGATAGGTATCTTCATCATTGCTTTTGTCATTCACCATTGATAGTGTATTAAATGACTTTCTTGCTGTTGGTTGTGGAATTGCTTGTGCTTGATCATCATCATCTTGAACCAGATCTACTACCGACTGAATGATTGAATTTAAAAATAAATGAATGAGTGAATTAAAAATATATATRCAAGACAGACCAAAAGATGAATAAAATAATAATGTTTAATAATAATAATGTTTCTTTTGCTGATTTTCTTGTTATCATTCTTGTRCCCAGATGCYTCTCAGTTTCCCAATGGAAATTCAGTGCCTCTGGTTGGAGATGATACCAGAGGACCAAGAGTCTGGGTCATGTGATATGATGCATGGGAATTGCTAGCCAATCAAATTAAAGAATCAYTCGTTTCCAATACCATTGATTATCATTGATTTTCCATTGGGAAATGGAGGAGGATCTGGGTACCAGAATGATCTGTTTTCAAAAAATCTCTGTTAAATAAGAAATCATGAAATGTCATTTTTCATATTTAATAATTAATGAGTTTGATCATAACTGATACCTACACTCAGAGATTTTTTAGTGTTATGGTTGGTTACGTCATTCAGTGGTTTTGTTGTCTGCAGCTTGATCCTCTTGGCAAAAGGCGAAGCTGTCAAATCACAAAAGTAATATTTTTTTTTAATTAAATAAAAAATAAATCCTTGTTCAGTTGAATAGGTATTTGCASTTTTATAACCAGCAACCAAACTGCAGTTCAATTTTATTATACCACCCTAGTGAATAGCCTGATTTTCAGCTGGGCTTAGTTTGTGCATCCCCTTTCMCCAAGTGAAGTAGGCAGGGTAAAGCATAGAGACTAGTGGTGCATATCTTAGCCCATTGAAGCAGCTTGCTAGATAATTATTAGATAATATTAGAGTATTGGATACTTGTACTTACATGTCACAGAAGTAAAATCATCATCATCATCRTCAGGAATACTGGTGGTAATGTTGTTAGAGAATGAACTAGAATTATCAACCCAGGTATGAGAACATAAAATATGTTGTATAATTTCTAATACTATGAATTAATAACTCAATAACAAACATTCATGAATTAAAAATTGAAAGGCCTCCAAGGAATTAAACTGTTATTGCATAATACATTATCAGACCTGTTTGTAAATGGCTGGACACAGGCAACTTTTTTACCGCAATTGTTTGTCAACAAAGATGTTGGCTGAGGATTATAGGACATGTTACTCTTGGAGATCTGAAAAAGCAAGATAAATATCTTAGATCAATGACACACAATCTCGATAAGTCAGAAGATGGGTTTAGTCCAGTCCTGGACTCCTTTCAACCCCGCTCCAGGAATCGCAACCTCAGCTTAACGGAGAGGACAGAAAGGGAGTCTGGAATGGACTAAAGGGTGCTAGGGTTAGACGATGTTTGGGTAGGGTGTGTTAGGCTAGTTAGCTCTGTTATTATTGAAGGAAAAATTTATTGTGATTACATTCAACTTACCTTGTCATTTTCATTTGTCTTTTTGAAGAAACGGAATATGCTAGAACTAGAGAAAACAAAAACAGATTAATCAATTTGYTAATCCAATTCATGTCTTCTACAATTAAAATAACATGGATTGGAATAACTTMATAAAGATAGAAAGACAGACTACTTTCTATAATAAAGTAGATACAACTGTAGATCTCCTCTACAATGGACGTCCATTCAAAAAAGTTGGCATAAACAACCTTCAAGTCAATGCAACTTGAACTTAAACCTCATTAAAAGTACATGTACCTTTTCTCAGCGGAGGAAACCTTCTTTGTTGTAGCACCATTCACTTTGCTCTTATTAAAAGCAGCAAGTTGCTCAGCAAGGTTATTTCGCGGTACATTGGCAGACATTTTGACTTTGATTTGAAGAGTCAATCTGGCCCAGGTCGACGTGAATAAACAATATTCCCATACTCAAAATGTCCTTAAAAGTTTCATTGATCTTTTTTGATGTTATTCCTTAAGTATGAGAGCGAATTTCATGTATAAATCTGTGAAATCACTAGTATTTTCTCTGTATTTTCTTCTTTGTAAAACTGTACTTCGCGCGCACCCGAATCTAGATCCCAGTCTTCCAGCAGCCGTCTTTCATGAAGGATGGAAAGCCTGGGTGGGGTGGGGTGGGGTTTCTTGTGTACTGCATACGGTAACTCAAAGATAGAAGAAAATTTATAATTCAATCTTTGTATTTTGGGTGCTACAATCATTTTGTAACGTTTTACATAAATAGATTTCTCTGTATTCTAAAAKAGTTAATCAATAAGAATTTGGAAGTCCTATTCAATTTTTTTTTTATTGTGAAAGCATAGATTGTTGAAAAATTTTCGCTTAATTTTGTAAAAACGTGACTAAAAARCAACAGAAAGCAGGAAACGGAAGCTCCTTGTTTTTATGGGTGTATCTGGATCCGATTTGCACAAAACGCGCCAAGTCGCGACACCACTAATCTCCGAACACCCGAGCTCACTGCTTGACCTTCCGACGATATATCGACTGTCAGTTTTCCATCGTTCGTTCAACATAAACTTTAAAGAAGTGGAAAAAAATTTAATAGAATAAGTCTAATATAAGGAAAAAATTAATTAGATCTGTTTTCAATGCCTTCAAACTTTGAAAAACCTGGTAATTTATCGAAGCGTTCGCTTTGAAACAATCGTTGACCCCTCGTGTGACGTCATTGAATGACGTACAGTGATCTTCTACTACGGAGTGTGTTTTGCTTCGTCTMTCCACACCTTTACTGGGATTTTGATTATTTTGACGTATTTTTGTACCATTACGCAACTAAATCACATTAACTAGCGTTCTAGAGAGCGTTAACTGCAGTCAAGAGGTTGAAATCATGTGATACTAAGCCATTTTCAGAACAGCTTGGCAAAAGAAGTCTTCGTGCACCCTTCGCACGTCGATATTGAATATGGCGTGGGGCTTCTCAGTCATAGTTCTTTCTATTCTAGTTGATRTAATTGCAGTGAAAGCACAATTAAACCTGTATGCAGCTAAACATGATGTCAATTCCCATCTAAGTAAGTACAATTTTATGTAAAAGTTTGCCGTAAACTGTGGGATCTTTGCCAAGGTAGTGGGATACAAACACGTGCGCTAACACTGTATGTCGCTTTGTTTTTGCAGAGCTAAACTTCAACTTTGATCTGTATTTTATTAAAAATGGCGAGCCTGTAGAACTCTTGAAAGACCCCAGGGCATTTTATAACTTCATGTCACCACTTCAGGCCGCCGTTAAAGGAGTGAAATTGAGTTGGTTTTCGAGTCCCCAGGTATGTTTGCGGACGTGATCAAATCTTCATCCACTCGTAGCGAACATAGTCACTCGTAAACAACTCCCTGTTTTACGCTATTTTCATTATTTATTTAGACAATTACGTCCTGGGCATTTTAGTGATAACATAGTGTGAAATACGTGCCGTAAAAGAGGATTCTGTGTGATGTTTAACTTGTTCGTACATTTGAATCCAAAATCTCATTAAGAATTAATTAATCAACACGGTCTTTATGCAAAAYTTGGCTATTGATGAATTTGTGGTCTTCCTTTTTCTGGGGTGGATTGTATAAAATAATCTAAAAGTGGTTAAGTATTTAAGTGTTTAGATAGTGTATTTTTATCCAGATTCTTTTGAAATCGTGACCACATGCACAATTCTATAGAACCACATTCTTGTGATGTAGTTCGTTTGCTTAGCAATGACTCCGCGATTTTGTCCTTTTCGCCCATTGTTTGTGTTAGGGTGACTCTAATGTGCCTTGCTGTGATCATGTGTTCGCATTCTAGTTTGCTATGATAATGTTTTTGTCGTAAATTGCAGAATATTGTGTTCTTACTGTGTACTCGATAATTTCCCAATATGAATAGAGCTGCTTTTGTCAATAAACTTGTATTATAACACTTTGTGACCTAAATGACGTTATGCAACGAATGCTCATTTCCTGTCGCGGTCAGTGTTAAATGCAAAAAAGAGTCTCTACTGCTTAAACAKTGATTTTAAAGTCCAAAATGTTCACAAAATTAAGTGGCCAATAAAAATAATATGTACATGTAGAACATCACATGATGGCTATATTTACATTTTGATTTTCTAATTATCGTACTTCAATTACTAATATTAAGTCTTTTTGAAACAATAAGCAGCAACTGTTTATCTGTAATAATTAAAAAAAAGTATTTAGATATATAATTGTAGTTCTTTTATGTTTATATTTATTTATTTTGATGTCTTCAGTATTTTTCTTCATAATGTTCTTTAGGATTGTTTTTATAAAGTAGAGATAACGATATTACATSTAATCCATCAATAGTAAACTCGTTGTTTAATTAAGTTTTGAGGGCTGAAAATTAAAAGCTGGTTAATACAGAATATCCAGTCAAAATTTCAGTTTGATTGACCATTAATTTGAACAGAAATTATCTTTATCAAGCTAAAAAATGCTTTGACCAGTCAGACTTGAGCTTTGCCAGACATTGTAYCAGTCCTCTCATCTGCTTACATGAAATTTGTTGTGGYTTCATTATGATTATTAAATTAAATTGACAAACTGTTGGTGGTAACAGACTA